ATCCGACAGGAATGCGCACTATCACCGTTACTTTTTAATCTATACATCGAAGACGCGATCAACATCATTAAAGACAGTACAACTGTAGGGATAGATATACAGGGGCAAAAGATTAGTATGCTTAGATTTGCAGATGATGTAACAGTACTAGCATCTAGCAAGGAAGACCTAGAGATAGCTTTAAATAAATTGTAAACAGTATTGACAAAACAGTACTGTATGAAAATAAATAAAAGTAAAGCCTTCAATAAAATTCAGTCATTTCGATGCTCGCGAATGGTTAATCTAGAAATTCGAAAAAAGTTGTTAAAGGTGTATGTTTGGAGCACGATGCTGTACGGGTGCCAAACATGGACAGTGGGTGCGGCGGAAAAGAAAAGGTTAGAAGCGTTCGAAATGTGGTTTTACAGGCGAATTATGAAGATACCGTGGATAGAGAAGGATAAAGAAGAAGAAATGAAGAGGTATTAGAAAGTGTAAGAGAACAGAGGACTGGAATGGAAGTCAATAATAATAGGCGAAATAGGTTAGTAGGACACCTCAGGCATGAAGGTCTGGTCAGAGACATATTCGAGGCAGAAACGGAAGTTAGGAGAGGTAGAGTTAGACTTAGATTAGTTTAATAATTGAGGATATGGGTTGTCCTAGTTTTAGGGAAATGCGATGATTAGCTCAGGATAGGATAGAGTGGAGGTGCGTGTCCAACCAGTCTTAGGACTGACGTCGTTATGATGATAATGATGTAGTCAATCTTTATTAAATTTAATCATCTAGAAATTTGGGCGAACAGTACTAGTCTCATTAAATGTTACAGTTAAATAAATTGACCGCAAAAAAGGTCGAACCTTACAACAAATCTTAATACTTTTAAGCAGTCTTAGACAAATAGTATTATTGATTGGGAATGAACCTGTTAAAATTTTACCACGAAAAAAACAGCTTTTCATCCTTTTTTCTTTGATAATATTCCCTGTCTTATTTAGTTCTTTTTACTCAGGAGTCATTTTACCCAAAAACATTTGTTTCCTTGCATTAGTATTTTAGCGTTGTTTTAAATATTTAGCATTATTTCGGTTTACCTGTTGTTTTAATTTTTGTGTTTGCTTTTATTCGTAACTTCTTTCATACTTCTGATAATGTCCTGAATACGTTCTATAATTAAAGTAAATATAAAAACCCAAAAAGTTTTAAATACATACAATAATATCTCCAAAAATTTTATTTAAACGATTCCCAAAATTTTTTCTGTCTATAGTATAAAAAGAGCTAAATAGTTGGAAGAGAACTGAACAGCAATTTTTTGGATTTTGGGATATTAAGGTGTTTAATTTTTCTTTAATTATGGTATGAAATCTTTCTATTGGAAAGTTACTACTAGGATTTTGAACAGTTGTTGAATGAAAATTTATGTTGTTCAATTGCATAAATTCTCTACAAAGTTATTAAATTTGCTGCCACTATCACTGTAATTTTGGTTGGGTAGTTATGGTGTGCAAAAAAATGCCTTAATCTGTTTAATATGGTTATGCCATTTTTATTTTCAATAAAATAGGACTGTGCATATTTAGAAAATAAATGTAAAATAGTTGTAAAATAATTTTCCTTGAAATTAAAATGTGTCGATAAATAAATGCTCTAATGGTCTTTTGGCTATAAGGGGCCCTTTAAACAAATTATGATGGGGACGCCCTTCGTATTTATTTTCGAGACAACGGGTACACTGATTGATGTGATTAGTAATGTAATCGTTCATTTTTGGTAAGAAGTAAAGATTAGAGAAATGCATGTAAGTTTCATTAATGCTATTATGATTACTATTATTATATGAATCTAAAAGTTCTTTGAATCTGTTAATAGTGATAACTGGTAATGATTTAGTGCATTTTCTGAATCTAACCTTATCATTGAATAAATGTTGACAAATTTAAACAAAATGATTTTCAATCTCTTCATCATAAAAATGAATACCACATAAACTGTCGGGTCTTATGTATTCTTTTATAAAATTAGTTATTTATTGTAATTCGTTATCTTTTCTAATAGGTAGTTACGTCAAATTAACTTGTTTAACATCTTTTAAATATTGTTTTCATTTGACATTAAAGGAATCATAATATTTAAGAGTTATAGAATTGGTAAAAGACTGAAGGACTATTTCTAAAATGGGTAATGTAAAATGAAGTGTTATCTTCAGCATTAGTATTGTAGCGAGCACGCGTGTGTTTGTGTGTGATTCGGCACACTGTGCGTGAGCGGCTTATCGATTCGCTGACTAGCTGCGGGCGCCTTTCTTCATGCGCACCGTATTTGTAAATGTGTGTGTCGTACCTGCGTTCTGGGAAAGCAGTTAAACAGTTCAAAGAAAAAATAAACTATCCGGATGTTTCCAGAAGGTTCCAGAAAGTAAACAAAAGAGTGTTTAAAAGAAGAGACGATCGCCGAAAGAAGAGGAAATAAATTGACCGTTGCAGAAGTGAATCCAGAAATAAATTAGCAGTAGATAATAGCAGTGAAATAAATAGCGCAGTGAATAGTGATATATCAGCAATAGTGTAAATAAATAGAATAATTCATAACCTTTTAGTCATAATATAATAGTGTTTTTAAGTTCTTTAATAATTAGTGTAAATAAATAGTTTTTGTCGTTGTCAGTCTTAATAGTTAATTTTTTAAACCCACGAACATTACAACTGGTGTCAGTTGTGGGGTTGAGTAAAAGACATTACAATGACAAAGAAGTTGTACGAATTAAAAGTAGCCGAGTTAAGAAGAGAATTGGAAGAACGAGATGAAGCGACGAGCTTTTTCACATACCCTACTTGTAATAAAATTAAAAAGCATTTCCTTTAAAAAATTATCAGTCGTAGGTGTGAAATCATCCACTACGTTTTGAATAAAGAAACTTGAATAAAGGAACTGACTAGCTACATCAAACCTAAATTTAAATTGATCTTGACTGATACTCATGTCGATTGTATTTAAAGATTCTAATAATTGTTGCTGTAAAGGTGTAGTCATAAATGATACCACAAAATCTTCCTACAACTAAACAATAAGGGAAAAAAAGGACAGTACCTCTATTTCCTGTGAAAGTGATCCAAATATAGAAAACGAACGAGCGTTGTTTTTTTTTACTACGGAGGTCGCCGGATTGAGAGATCCTTCTGTTGTTTGTTGGTTCCTTCGATCCAATATAAAGGGGTGATTCACAAAGTAATTAAGTAACAATTCCAAGTACTTACTGGGTCGTTGATACTAGTAGATGTCTAGAGGAACTTTTCTTGGATCTTGTTCGCAGCGCCAGTTAAAGTTTCTTGAACAGCTATCGTCTTATTTTAAAGGATAAAAACACCTGAAGTTGCACTCTTATTTATTGATTCATAATGGAACTAACATAATAATAGTATAAACTGGATTCTCTTTATAAATTTAAAATAATGGGTTTTTATACAAGTTTAAGTAATTTCAGAAGTGACGTTTCTAATAGGTGAAAGGTCTTTTACCTTCTGCAGTATTCCTACCGTTTGGTTTCTTTCTAATATTTGTTTAATGTGCCTGTGTATACAACTGTAACTATCTGCATATCTATTAGATTAACGGTAATAATTTAAAAACTTGTGCTTATCATATTGTTTAAACACTTTGCATATTCTTTAAACACAAAATCAATGAAGGCAATGTTAAAATACGACACAAATACTTCAAAAAGCAAAAAATTAACTGTGCTTCAAGCTTAGAAACTAAAAAAGCCATAACACTAATTCGAGTATTGTCAACAACCAGTTACAATTGAAATGTCCTCTCCACTTTTGTTAAGTGGGTTACCCCAGTATATATATAGTTCTCCAGCAGATACCTAAATGACATTTTCAATTACTAATAGTGGTTAATATGCAATATTAATGTGAAAATTCATTTTCGATTTTCCATCCACTACAAACTACCTCAAGTTAATAAAGAAAAATATTTTTGTTGCTGTTGTCACATTTCCGCCGCGAATCGATCCCGGGACCTTTGTCTTTACGCACCAATGCTCTGACCACTAAGCTACGAGTGATAACAACAGCAATCACCACAAACCAAGCCAACGAGGCTTTAATATTACATACCTAAATTAGTGTTAGTTAATTTTAATGAAGTGGTAAATTCGGAAACACGTCGAGCCTTAAATAAAATTGGTGAACATGATTTTAGTGGTTTTTTGCACCGTTGATAGTTTATTATTAAAGTAAATACTCCCATTTCCCAAACTATCAGAATGAGAAATAGTTTGTAAGATCAATGCGACAAATTGACATTTTTTATTTTATTGTTTAATTAATATTAAAANAAAATTTAATTATAATTTACTTTATCCTGACCTTGAGACGTGTACCCACGTCACAATTTATTTCATTGTACTTACTTTATTAGAAACATACTTCTAGTTTATTAATTTAATAATAAACAAATATGGTAGTCTGTTCAAAATTTGTTAATTTAAAATTCTCAGAAACGAGACGTGTCAATTCTCAGAACACAAGGGTCTGCCCCAACTTTCGATAAGCAGTGGCATACATTTAAATTTTCGTAACACTTAAACCTTTGCTGAATAATCGACGAAACGTACATTTTTAAATACTTATTTAAACAGGTAAATAAATACAGGCCACATGTGTATTGAAAAATAGTATGTCAATTTTTTCAATTTTTATATACAGCACCCTGTCGTGCTTTTTTTAATAATTGTCAAAAATAACACTGTTCTCATTCTTATTATTTATTTTTGATCTATTACATACCGTTTACAATAATTACATTTCGGTTTGTATTAATAATATATGTATTTTTCATCGAGTGCCCAGCTAACTTTTTAATCACTACGAAGATTTAAATGTACGCGACTGTACCTATGCGAAAGCCTGGATAGACCTTTGTGTTTCGAGAATTGACCTGTCTCGTTTCTAAAAATTTTACATCAACAAATTTTGAACAGGCTCTATGTTATTCATTTTAAATAGGGTCGTTTGGGATCATCAAATTCCTCAGATGATAAAATATTTAGAACAAAGCCAACATATTTTTAATGAAGCTGATTGGTTAGATCATATAACCAACTTTTTGTCAATGTGCTTGGAAGCAGTACAAGACGAAGAATTTACAAACTCTGTGGTTTATGCCATAAAAACGGAATTAGACAACAATCCTAAAGATGACGTGGAATTATTACTAAGATTACTTGCTGTAACTACTTGCCATTTAAAAAACGATCAACAGGTTTCATCCAATTTGAAAAGCATTTTAAAAGTTGTCCCACCTTACAATTCTTCAAGATTGGATGCGTGTGCTAAAGCATTAGGAATTTCTTCAAGGATTCACTGGAAGTCAGTGATGGAAGAATTACAACTTATTCGAAAAGATTTATTGCATAAAGGCCACGGTACAATAATGGGGATTGTCAGTGGACATCACAGAAATGACAGCTCTTCAAGCAAGGTATGTAATATGTAGGTAAGAACGTTTAAGCTTTTAATCAGAAATTTATTGGAACTACATAAACTCGCTCTTTAGGAGCTCATTCAGTTTAGTTGGTAATGTATTGAGGTTACCTATGGTGCGGTGATGAGATCTAATAAAGCTGTAATCGCGATTCGTGTATGATAATTTTGATTGATTGATTGATAAGTTTCTGACTAAGGTTATGTTTGGATTAAGTCAGCGATACACAGCGATGAGCATCGCTTGCAATTGCTACCGATTTGCCCTCGGACACGATGACTGTCATTGTTTACAAGATTCGACATAATCCTACTTTTTTGTGTGATTAAAGTAATTGTGTTTTTATATATTTTTATAATTAATATGGAATATANCATTTTCCGCGAGATATGGGCGCCTCTACTTCCAACTGTGCGAAATTTACGCGTTCGCTTCTTAATGCATCATGACCCTTGCGACTCCGTACATGTTTTATGTTTAAAAAAGTCGACAGTGAAGATTTTAGTAGCTGTAAGTACATCCTCACACCAAAAATACGCCATAAATAATATCTTTGATTTATTTATTTACTTGCTTTTCCCCGCGACTTTGCTCGCAGAAATTAATATTATTTTTCCATAAAACCTTTTAACTCCCAATTCACCCTTACAACGTTTTAATTTTATGTAATCTCGCTATCTTAGATTTCAAATACAAACATAGCAACAACATTTCATCCTTAAGGGTTGATTTTTAAAAACTGCCAAAACGCGCTTAATTTCAACAATGAGCAACCTTCGAGTAAATCCGAGTACAAATAAAATATATCCCATTGAAACGTTGCAACCTTTTTTCATTTGAATAATAATATCAAATAGCATATGTACGAAGTTTCATGTATAGTCAACCACAAATAAAGTATGTCCCAAACAAAAATAGCAACACCTTTCCCCGTTTGAACATTGAATTTTTTAAAATGTCGAGATAGGTCTTTCAGAAATTAAATAAGAGACCATTAAAACGAAGTTTCAAGTAAATCTGACCACAATTAATATAGGTTCCACTTAAACATTGCAACTCCTCTTCACCACTCATCCCACGCAACAGTGATTGAATTTTTTAACCAGTTTCAAGTAAATCGGACCAAAAACAAACATGCAATCTTAGCAAACCCCTTCCAGCTTCCTAAAGAGGTAGAATTTTGTGAAATGCTGAAATAGGTATGTATATCACTAATTTTATATGAAAAAGCATTAATGTCAAGTTTCAGGTAAATTTGACTATAAATAAAACACCATACTTAACCATAGACATTACGTTTAGCTGTCAGTTGCGTTTTGTTATACCATTTTTAAATAGTAGTTCATTGTCGGTCATTTATACTTTTTATTTATCACGTTAATTATCACAAAACAGAAAAGAAACATCAACAATTGCACGATTTGTAAGTAAACACAATAATTAAATTTCAAAATGGTGATCTCAGAAATCCCTTTCAGTCATCACAACTGGTCGCAACTAAATGTGTCCGAGGTGCCAATTCATAAGTACATTGATTAATTTACACGCTTGTTAAGTATTTAAATAATGTCATCGTTCGGATAAATAAGTTAAAATACCTTAGTAACGTCTTGTCTAACTATTGAAATACTTCAGTAGCAGCTAATACCCAATATATGGCGATACATTGCCTCTGTTTGTATATTACATAAACTTTCTCTGGGAGCTTATTTAGTTTGGTCAGTAACTTGTCGAGATTGCCTATGACGTACTGATGAGGTCTAATGTGATTGACATTCAGATAATATAGCATACATTAATTGCTTTTTAATAGGTGTTCAAATTTGACTGCGAGTTAATCGGAGAATAAAAATTAACTTTTATTTTCTGTAAAATTACCAAGTTAGAAATAATTGCGTTTTCGAATTTGATACCATTTTCAACAATAATCTGTTTAGGAACACCATATGGGTGAAAAAAATTATTAGACTACTAACATAGCAGAATAAAGATTCGGGCTATAGGGCCGTGGTCTAAGTGAACTATTCTGTCCAGACGTTTCGTCAGCTACTACGGCTGATAGTATCCCGTTTTGAGAATCGCGTTGAATAAAGTAGTCAATAGCGGAGGGAGGTAGGTTTTTAATGATACTAATGGTGATTCCGTCTTCACCAGGTGAATTGTTTTTTAGTTTAGTGAATGTGTCTGTGACATCATCCTGTGTTATTTCGCGTAGAATATGATTTTCATCGTGTTGTGCGATTTGGATTACGTTTGTGATGTTATAATTTATTCTCGTGGCGTGTATCGCGCCGTGGTGTGGGCCCGTGTAGGTAACGTGCAGATTTTGCAAAGTATCGGCGAATGCATTTGATTTTTCTTCCGCTGTATTGTAGATCTGATTGTTGATTACTAAGTGGGTAATTGTAGGTTGTTTTTGGCCGGTGATTGTTTTGAATTTATTCCAAAATTTGGAGCCGTCGTGAAAATTAAGTTTAGAACAGGTTTCGTGCCATCGTTTTTCCTGATGTTTATTTGTTTTGAGTCAAACTAACGCGTTTAATCTGTTCCATTCTGTTTTAACGAATGGATCGCGGGTTCTAGCAAATTGCCTATACAATGCGCGTTTTCTATTAATTAATTCAATTATCTCACGCGGGAGAGGTTTTCGGCCTATACAGATTACTTTGACTGGCGCAGTTTCGTGTATCGCGTTTTGTACACAAGTGTTGTACGTTTCTAGCGCGGTGTCGATTTCTTCCTGAGTATTTAGTGTCGGTGAGAGGAGGTTAGAGTTGTTGATGTGTTCGCGAAGGTTGTCGAAATTAATGTTCTTGTAGTCGCGTATTTCTTTAAACGAGTTAGGTGTAATTTTACATGATCGGATATTAAGTGTGGCGGATAGTGGTATGTGGTCGCTAGTTATTGGAGTACCTATTCCACATATGTCGGAGAAAAGTGGCGCGACTCTGTCCGTACAGAGTATATGGTCTGGAATAGACAAGCCTTGATGGCTTAAAAAGGTGAAATTTGTGTTTCTTATGCGGAATAAATTGTGTGTGAGAAGTGCGTTCGCGCGTATTCGCCCGTTGGCGTTTGTACTGATATCTCCGAATGTAGTGCGTCGCGCGTTAAAATCTCCTAGAGCTATGGCTCTAGGAATGGTTGATACGTAGGATAAGAACTCGACTGGTAGCCTGGTAGAAGGTTTGTTATAAAACGAAAAGATAACAATATCTCCGGAGTGAAGGTGCAGCGTAGCTGCGCAGCAGTCGAGCTCTTGGAATTGTGGTGGTAGGAAAAATCGGTTAGATGCAATGGAATTGTGTATGATTAGGGCCGTCCCTTTTCTGTGGAGTAGTTTGTCGTTTCGGTAGATGTTGTACTGTGCTATGTATTGCCGTATGCGTATAGATAGTGTTTCTTGTAATGCGAGAATGTGTATTGAATCATTATTTACTGTGTGTATTATGTTATTCTTTTTTCTCTTCCATCCGTTTGTGTTAATTGTACAAATTTTAAGGCCCGCGAATGTAAATTAACGGGGAAGATGAGCCATCGATTGGTTTGGGTTAGGATTTAGGCGTGGGAGTATCTTGGAAGTGAGGTGATTGGTGTTATGGATAGATGTACATTGTTACCTCGGTAATCGTACGAAACTTTGCGCCTGAAGAACTGGGCGGCTTGGCGGGCGACTACGCTTTCGACAAAGCGTTGGTTTGGGTGTAGTGAGGTCATGCAAAGGTATGTGAACCTGATCGTGTCATCGATCGTAGTGAAACGTCTGGGATCAGGACTGCTATCAGTGGTTTCTGACGAATCGTCTTCAGAAATTTCGTCAGCTGGTGGATCAACACACTTGATAGGAGCGGTTTTCGTCGGTGTTAGAGATTTAGGAGAGGGTCTGTTGGGACATTTAGAGTCAAAGGCAAGGTGCTTTCCTTTGCAGTTGGAGCAGGATGGGGAGGAGGTGCAGGAAGAAGAGGGATGGTTGCCACCGCAGCGATAGCAGGAAGGTTGTTTTTGAGAGCAGGAAGGGGTATTGTGACCAAATGTGAAGCATTTGCCACATTGTAAAGGTTGGGGCCTGCGGATTGGGAAGATTATAGATTTAGGACAATTGGATATTACCCTAAAGAGGAAGGTGTCTTTGCCTGTTTGCCTGGACTTGATACGCCAGGCATTTTTGGCATTGATCGTCTGATCTTTAAGGGCGGTTAAGATGTCGGTCGAGGATATATTCAGATCTACAGATCGAATGACGCAGGAGAAGGTAGGTCTGGACGTTGTTGGCTTTGAAGTGGTAGGGGATTTGGACGTATTTTCATCTTTTCAGACAAAAGAGCCTTGTGGGGAGAAAGTTTTTTCACGATGTCGGGATCTTTGGATGTGACTATCGCTTTATTACCGCGGAAAACGGTAAGGGTAAGGAAAATTATTGAAGGTAAGCTGCGTATGGTGTGGTATAAGGATTTTTGATTCGAGAATTTGTCCGGTATGTCGGAAATCAAAGCTTCGAAAATTGGGGTTGAGGAGGTTTGGGAGGTAATAGAGAAATACGTCGGGGAAGATGGTGATGAATGCGAGGAGTCAGAGTGTCTTCGCCTGCGTACCATGTTCTCGTGAGATTGGTCATCGCTTGGCGAGACGGCCCTAGTCCTCTTACCAGGAGTGCCAAAGGTGGTGGCCATCGTGATCGCTGAATGAAGTGTGTATGAGTGTAGGTGTGTGAATATGTAATTTAGGATGCGAAGCGTGTATGTGTGTGCAACGTGTGCTTGTGTTTGTTAGTTTATTAGTTTCCTAACAGGGTGAGTGTTAGATTCAAAGGGACTGTGCGTACTCGGTCCCAGTGAAGTAGGTAGTCCACCTCTGAGGTGGTGGGTGGACACTCGTGGTAAAAAGCGAAACTAGGAGATAGATTTGAGCGGAAGAGGGCGGCTCATTGTAGAAGGTGACAGGGCCTTCGGAAACGGTCGTTGGGTTTCGGTGCGTATTTGGAGAGTGCCGAGATGGTG